TCCTCCTCCTCCTCCTGTCCATCCTCCTTCCCGGCGCAGGTCTGTCGAGCCGGGTCTGTCGAGCCGGGTCTGGCACACCGCATCCGGCAAACCGGGTCTGTCGAACCGGGTCTGTCGAACCTGGTCTGTCGAACCGGGTCTGTCGAACCGGGTCTGTCGAACCGGTTCTGTCGAACCGGGTCTGTCGAACCGGGTCTGTCGAACCGGTCTCTGGCGAACTGGTCCTTGGCGAACCGGTCCTCTGGCGAACCGGTCCTCTGGCGAACAGATCCTCTGGCAAACCGGTCCTTGGTGAACAGATCCTCTGACGAACCGGTCCTCTGCCGTTCATACCTTGCTACCAAGCGGCACTCTCGCCCGCGCATGTCGAAACCGTTCGAACGCCCTTGCGCGCGTGCTGTCGCAAGAATCCTTTGCGTCAAATCGGACGAAATCCACGCGCGCGCCTGCTCGCGCGCGCGTGCCCGAATCTTTCAACAATTAGCCTGGCGAAGGACCCAACCATATGCAGTTGTGAATGCCGCAATTGTGCTGGGTGGTGGCGGACGCATGCGGGCGGTGCCACTGGGACCTTCGGTGGAGCTCCCTATGGGGCCACGAAACGCTGTACTGGGTGGGTGAGACGCGGTCAGCAAGGGCTGTGCTGCGTGGTGGCGGACGCATGCGAGCGGTGCCACTGGGACCTTCGGTGGAGCTCCCTATGGGGCCACGAAACGCTGTACTGGGTGGGTGAAACGCAGGCAGGGAGCAAGGGCTGCGCAGGGTGGTGGCGGACGCATGCGGGCGGTGCCGCTGGGACCTTTGGTGGAGCTCCCTATAGGGCTACGAAGCGCTGTTCTGGGTGGGTGAAGCGCAGGGAACAAGGGCTGTGCTGGGTGGTGGCGGACGCAAGCGGGCAGTGCCACTGGGACCTTTGGTGGAGCCCCCTATGGGGCCACGAAACGTGCGAGGGGTGTGCCAGAATGGGGTGTGGAACCGCATGCCAGCGCAGCCACTGGGGCCTTCGGTGGAGCTCCCTATGGAGCCACGAAACGTGTGAGGGGTGTGCCGAAATGGGGGGTGGAACCGCATGCGAGCGCAGCCACTGGGCCTTCGGTGGAGCTCCCTATGGGGCCACGAGACGTGTGAAGGGCGTGCCGAAAAAAGGGGGTGGAACCGCATGCGAGCGCAGCCACTGGGGCCTTCGGTGGAGCTCTCTATGGGGCCACGAACCGTGTGAGGGGTGTGCCGAAATGGGGGGGGGGGGAACCACATGCGAGCGCAGCCACTGGGGCGTTCGGTGGAGCTCCCCATGGAGCCACCCACGAAGCGTGTGAGGGGTGTGCCGAAATGGGGGGTGGAACCGCATGCGAGCGCAGCCACTGGAGCGTTCGGTGGAGCTCCCTATGGGGCCACGAAACGTGTGAGGGGTGTGCCAGAATGGGGGGTGGAACCGCATGCGGGCGCAGCCACTGGGGCCTTCGGTGGAGCTCCCTATGGGGCCACGAAACGTGTGAGGGGTGTGCCAGAATGGGGGGTGGAACCGCATGCGGGCGCAGCCACTGGGGCCTTCGGTGGAGCTCCCTATGGGGCCACGAAACGTGTGAGGGGTGTGCCAGAATGGGGGGTGGAACCGCATGCGGGCGCAGCCACTGGGGCGTTCGGTGGAGCTCCCTATGGGGCCACGAAACGTGTGAGGGGTGTGCCAGAATGGGGGGTGGAACCGCATGCGGGCGCAGCCACTGGGGCCTTCGGTGGAGCTCCCTATGGGGCCACGAAACGTGTGAGGGGTGTGCCAGAATGGGGGGTGGAACCGCATGCGGGCGCAGCCACTGGGGCCTTCGGTGGAGCTCCCTATGGGGCCACGAAACGTGTGAGGGGTGTGCCAGAATGGGGGGTGGAACCGCATGCGGGCGCAGCCACTGGGGCCTTCGGTGGAGCTCCCTATGGGGCCACGAAACGTGTGAGGGGTGTGCCAGAATGGGGGGTGGAACCGCATGCGGGCGCAGCCACTGGGGCCTTCGGTGGAGCTCCACTATGGGGGGGGGTGTGTGTGGGGCCACGAAACGTGTGAGGGGTGTGCCAGAATGGGGGTGGAACCGCATGCGGGCGCAGCCACTGGGGCCTTCGGTGGAGCTCCCTATGGGGCCACGAAGCGTGTGAGGGGTGTGCCAGTGTGAGGGGTGTGCCAAATGGGGGTGGAACCGCATGCGGGCGCAGCCACTGGGGCCTTCGGTGGAGCTCCCTATGGGGCCACGAAACGTGTGAGGGGTGTGCCAGAACGGGGGGTGGAACCGCATGCGGGCGCAGCCACTGGGGCCTTCGGTGGAGCTCCCTATGGGGCCACGAAGCGTGTGAGGGGTGTGCCAGAATGGGGGGTGGAACCGCATGCGGGCGCAGCCACTGGGGCCTTCGGTGGAGCTCCCTATGGGGCCACGAAACGTGTGAGGGGTGTGCCAGAACGGGGGGTGGAACCGCATGCGGGCGCAGCCACTGGGGCCTTCGGTGGAGCTCCCTATGGGGCCACGAAACGTGTGAGGGGTGTGCCAGAATGGGTGTGGGAGGGGGAGGAGGGGGGAGGAAGAGGAGGAGGAGGACGGAGGAGGAAGGAGGAACACGGGGCGACGTCTCTTCAAAACGAGGACCCAACACCACAGGATGGTTGGGGAAAAAGGGTTTCGTAGGGATTTCAAAACCGAATACCCCGAAAACAAATGAAAACACAAGGTTTCGCAACATCAGTTTTCAAACATACCTGCGCTCGCGCGCCTGCGAATTGTTTGGGAAACCGAACCACGTCGAATTAGTAGTTTAACTGAATTCGGCGAAAGGGGATCCTCGCGCCGCGCGTCAAAATCATTCGAACGCCCTTGCGCGCGTGCTGGGGGGGTACGATCCATGTCAAATAATTCCATGCGGGCCACTCTCGCGCGTCGGCCGCGCGCGCATGTCGAACTCCCTTCGAAACCTTCATCGCTGACGCGAGGCCGCCGTCATCGTTGTCATCATCCTCGCCAGCATCGCTAACTACCATCATCGTCGCGTCTACCGGTGTCGACGTTGCCATGATACCGCGCCCGCCCAGGTCGCGATTCGCACTGAAGTGCCCGTTGGGCTATGCCCAACGGTCAACGCCACCGCGGCCGCGTTGCTAGCGCCAAATTAGCTGGCCGCTGCGCGCGCGAGCATGCGCGGGCTGGCGCGGCCGCAGTGATGCGCCAGCCATCTCCGAGCACTCATCGGAATCGCCGCTGCATGGGTTTTGTACATTAAGTTGAGGGCGGGCGGGTGGGATAATTGCGCGAACAATGGAATGGACAACACCCTGCGAACAGAAATGGTTTCTCCCTCCCAAAAGAATATTCGGATCTACCCCGGCCCCCGGGGGTAAATATGATTCTGGCCCATCGTCCGTCCTAGATATGAGCTCATACCATCCCAGGCAAGCCGCTATCGCCCCCCTCCACCCCCCCATCCTCAGCAAAAAAAGCTCTGCGCGCGCACTCGTTTATCAACAGCTGTCACTCTCTAAAAGCCCCTGGCGGTAAACTGGACGAACTGCACGCGCGCGCGTCGTCGCGTGCGCATGCCAGAATTCTTTAAACAAGCCTTCGACTTTGCAAGGATTTGAAGATCGAAATTCACGAAAACATCTAGACACACGTAGTTCCGCAAAACAGACTTCGTAAAGTTCCAACATTTTCACACAAATCCTACCAAAGGGGCCTCTCGCGCGCGCGTGGCAAAATCGTTCGAACGCCCTTGCGCACGTGCTGAGACAAGAACCCTTTGCAACTAATCGGACGAAATGCGCTCGCGCGCGCGTCGTCGCGCGCGCATGCCAGAACCCTTCAAACACCTTAGGTCTCGCAAGGATTTCAAAAAAATGAATGACCCGCAAACATATACAAACAAATGGTTTCGCAACATCAGTTTCAAATAGAAGCTTGCGCTCGCAGTCTTGCGGATTCGTGGGGAAACTCTCGGTTTCCAACAATTTCATCAAATGCTGGCAGGCGGGCCTCTCACGCCGCGTGTCGAACTCGTTCGAACGCCCTTGCGCGCATGCTGGGGGGGGAACGATCCGCGGCAGTATCGGCGCCGTCGCTGTCCTTGCCGTCGTCGTTGTCATCATCGTCACCAGCATCGCTAACTACCATCATCATCGCGTCTACCGTTTTCGACGTTGCCACGATACCGCGCCCGCCCAAATCGCCTACTCGCACTGAAGTGCCCGTTGGGAAATGCTCAACGGTTAGTACCACCGCGGCCGCGTCGGTCGCGCCACACACGAGCTGGCCGCTTTGCGCGGAAGCATGAACGCCAGCGCGGCCGCGGCGATGCGCCAACCGGCGCCGAGCAGTCATCACAATCGCCGCCGTATGGGTTTTGCAAACCAAGTCAGGGGTGGGCGGGTGGGATGACTGCGTGAGCGTTGGGGTTGGCAACTCAATGCGGGCATTGGGTGCATTCCACAAAACAGATTGCACGGTACAGATTGCACCAAATAAATTTACAACATGAACAGCACCACAATGATCGCACCGTATAAGTTGCTCCACAAACATGGCGCAACATAGCTTTCACGCCATATATAGCACCACATAGACTGCGCTACGTCGATTGCACCGCATCGATTGCACCACAACTATTGCACTACATACGCTGCACCACACATATTGCATCACATACATTGCGCACCACATAGGTTGCATCACATATATTGCACAACATAGAGTGCACCCTTTATATTGCACCACATAAATTGCACCACGGAGATTGCACCACATACGTTGCCCCACCGAGATTACACCAAATATACTGCTAGAAACATACTCAGTGGGGTCCACGGTGGCTAGCATACAACTGAAGAGTAGGGCACCGGGATAAGGAGAATGACGAGCATCAGGGTAAGGCGGGGCAGTACGGCCTGGGATAACTGCAGGAGGATGAGGAGCAGGATCAGCATCATCAGTGGGAACACGAGCAGGAAGGAGGAGGCAGGAAGACGATAATACGTTTGTGGCGCTAATGATCACGGTGACGACGGAGACGGTCGCGACTCGGATATCACACAACCTGCCCACCAGTTTGGAGCCAAATCGCTCGAGGGGGCTCCCGTACAACATGGGGCCCTCGGGCTCACTCCGCCCGTCGGCGAGAAGCAGGACCCCCGAGGAGGGAAACCCTCGCTGAGCCGCCTTCCCCAGGCCACCCAACTTCGCGCTTCGCGCAACGCCAAGCGCATCTGAAAGAGAATATCTGGCCCCAGGCATCGAACCGCGGCTGTCGTGGCGCCTCTGCGGATGACCTGGGCTCCCGAGACGGCCTCGGCCCCAACCGCACGTGCCGCCCAAAGAGAGAAGCACCGCCATCGGCCGCCTCTCGCGCTTCTAGAACAATGGCATAAACATAACAACTCGGAGGTCCGCGCGGATTTCTCGGATCCGCGCTGGACACCTTTCCCTGACGCGCGGAGAGCGCCAGGGGCGGCGCCGGAGGCGCCGCCAGGGGTGTCCAGCGCGGATCCGCGAAATCCTCGCGGACCTCCGAGTTTCTATGTTTATGTCATCCGTCGTTCCCCCAGCGTCGAAAACGCACACGAGCTCCTCTCCTGCTTTTGTCGCTCGCCTGGCCGAGCGCACCCAGTTTGGGACAACTCCCCTCCCCGGTTCGCGCGCGCGCAGATGGCTGGGCCAGCAGCTCGAGCGCGAGGGCGGAGGCCTCATCTTAGGTCGGGCATGCCCCTTTGCAGGGGGATTCTTGGACGAAAAATAAAACATGGCCAAAACAAGTCTTAGAATAATGAGAGAACAATCGAAAACGTTTCCCTGACAATGTTTGGGCTGTCTTTGAATTCTCCTCCTGTAGAGAGACAGGCCCGACGTAAGCCTAATCCGGAAACCCCGGGGACTGCGGCTGTTGGGGAACGTGCGGGAACTCGGTGGTGGCACGCGCGAGCTTGGGGCGGCCAGCAGTTCAAGCGGGCCATTCGGAAGCCTGCCTGCTGTGATGGCCGCATTCAAAACCTCGGCGTGCCAAACGTTCAAACTTCGCTCGGAATAGGTCATGGCGTGGTCAGCTCCACAAGCGAACTGAAGGCGCTGACCTTGCGCCAAACTCGTATTCAAAAGTATCGGTCTTGCCTCCAGCACGGGATAAAACGAACGGGAGCAGTAGGGGAGATTGGGGCCAAGAAGGCGACAAGGGTCTCAAGTAGGTGCCGGTGCTGGTCTAGTCTACAGTCAAATATCTCCCTGGTCGGGGGATCGTCACAGAGGCGAGCTGATGCAGCCATGCTTTTTTTACCAATTCAAAATGGGTCGCACAGGAATGCGTCCCAGCTAGCTGCCACGCGTGCTTTATGCTACGCGGTCCATGACAAATAAAACAATTCCTAAAACTACGCGATGCGTCTGTAGTCTGGTAGAGGTCTCAACCCTCCAAGCTACAGTTCGAAGGCGCTCAACATCATCGACGAAAGATACGATCGCCCAACTGGGCTGTAACACATCGCCGCACTTCACTTCAGGTAGTAGGCTGTGTCGTCCTCGTCTTCTGACCTGGCGAAGGTCGACGACCCGGATTCATTCTCTGCGGTGAGCAGCACCTCCTCGCACTCCCACTCCTTCTTGTCGCTGTCCACCCACGCCCAGGCGCCCCCGTCCCACCTACGGTGGGGGTTGCACGTGGTGTTGCAGCTGGCCCAATACTTGTCCTTCCTGAAACACCTCGAGCCCGAGTCCCTGCAGCACTTGGAGCTCGCGCACTGCTCGCCCGGGCCGGCGCAATTCCCCGGCCTGGGGTCGCGCATGATCCGGCTCGGGTTCGAGGCTGTCAGGACCTCGCAGCTCCAGCTGAGCCCGGACGCCTCCACGGATACCCACGCCTGAAGGGGGGACAGACAAATAAATACACACAAATAAAAATATTCCCAATATTTTCCCATATTTTCCCATATTTTCTGGGTTTCTGTCTTCCCCCCCACTTCCCATATTTTCCCATATTTTCTGGGAAATCGACGATTAACTGTGTCTGTGTTTTTTTTTCCCCTCCTGAACGCCTGCTGGCCCACGTCCCAGGTGCTGTTCTTGGAGCACGTGGCGTTGCAGCTCGCCCACCACTCGTGCTGCCTGAAGCAGGTGTGGCCGGGGTGCCTGCAGCAGCGCGAGTCCAAGCAGCTCTGACCGCTCTCCGCGCACTGCCAGTCCGCCGCCGGCTCCGCCGCTGCCGCGCTGGCGGCGCCCCAGGCCGTGAGGGTGCCGTTGGAGCTGTTGGCCCAGGCCGTGAGGGTGCCGTTGGAGCTGTTGGAGCTGCTGTTGGAGCTGTTGCCTGCCAGGTCCTGCGGCACGGGCGCGGGCAGCCTGAGGGCGCAACGGCCTCCGTGCTTCTCGTCGCACCGGGTCCCCGGGCAGCACTTGGGGCCGCCCCCGCCGCAGGTCGCGGCCACGGGGGCGCAGGAGACCGAGCCGCTGAGGCTGCCCTCGGTGGAGCTCTTCATCGTGAATATCCCCAGCGTCCTCTGCGCGTCGGCGATCGCCGCGGAGGTGGCGTCCGAGACGTGCAGCCCCGCTCGACGCGCGCCCCCCTCCGCCGCCCGCAGGAACGCCGCCGCCTCGGCCCGCTCGACCTCCTCGTCCGACGAGGAGGGCGGCAGCCCCGCCGACTTCCTCAGCGAGGGCAGCGCCGCGGCGCTCATCCTCCCCGAGAACTCCCCCGCGAAGGCCTTCATGTTCAGGCGCCCGTTCTCCTCCAGGGCCCCGTCGCCGCTGTGCCCCTGCGCGCCGCGGTGCGCGGTGCCGACGGCCGACGCGAGGGCCGTGCCCGCCAGCACCGCCGCGACGACGCCGGTAACCTTTCAGGGGGACGTAAGACCTAGGTACAGGGGACTCGGAAATCCCCGACGAGGTCGTCAAAAAAATGACGAGGCCGAGCCTGCATTTTGACGAGGCCTCCCGCTGCAGACATCCCACGAAACTCCTCCTCGTCAAAATCCGAGGCGCGGTCGTCAAAAAACGATGGCGAACCCGAGTCCTGGCAAACCCGGGTCTTACGCTCCCCCGAACCTTGAAGCCCCGCGAGACGCCCGCCGGGGACCAGCAGCCGCCGGCCTGCGCCACCCCGAGGGCCTCGTGGAGGGGCGCCCCCGCGCCGCCGCGGCGGAGCGGGGCGGGCCCCGAGCCGCGCGGGCTCCCCGCGTCGCCGTGGCCGTCGGCGCCGAGGTCCGCCCACTCGCCGGCGCAGTCTGCGTCGCCGGCGCACGGAGGCAGCTCGGCGGAGCCGCCGCCGCCGCCGAGGTGGCACCTCTGAAGGGGCCCTGGGACACACAGACAAATACACACAAATAAGCAGATTCCCCATGTTTTCCCATATTTTTTCTGGGTTTCTGTCTTCCCCCCCACTTCCCATACTTTCCCATATTTTCTGGGAATCGACGAATCATTGTGTCTGTGTTCTTTTTTCCCCTCCTGAACCTCCACGCCGCGACCGGCACGGGGCCGCAGGGCCGATAGCTGCTGGGCTCGCCCCGCCTCGTCAAGACCCTGTTCGACAGCATCGCGCCGAGCAGCCGCTCAGCCTGCCGAAGCAACCTTTGTCTTCTTCGGGCTCAGGGGCGCTCGAGCCGGAGTGGCAACGATGCGGAGGCAGGAATCCCACCAGCTCTCCGTGCGTGGATGTCTTCACGAGTTTGCTCTTCCGTCCGACCCCGTCCCGTCCCCCTCGGGGAAGGGGTCACCACCTAAAGAGCGTCTTCGATGTACGCTGGGAGGAATTCGGGAGGGATGTACGACCCCCCCCCCCTCAAAGTCTGGGGGCCAAGGGTTCGAACCCCCCTCCCCGCTGGGCGCCGCCAAAGGACGACGACGACGACGATGACCACAAAGACGAGGACGACGTGCCCCGCCCGCCCGACTGAATCACCCACGACGACGACATGTCTCGCCCGCCTGCCCGCCCGACCGACCCGCCGACGACGGCGCAGGCAGCGACGACGACGGCGACGACGACGACGACGAGTCGGATTTGCATTAGTGAAGCGTGCATTGAAATCGCTTTCTCTCTCTCTCTCTCTCTCTTTCTTGCTCTCTCCGCTCTCCCTCTCTCTCTCTCTCCCTCTCTCTCTGATCACTGCTCCCTTTTTGGTAAATACCCCGTCCCCCACTCGACTGGCCGCCAACCAGGAACCATTCGCCCACCCACCACCATCCCTGCCAAACAACAACTCAAAATTCAAGTGGCGGCATCATTTGGGATCATGAGTGGGCACCCCGCCATCACATCACGTGGCTTTTGATGGGAACGGCGGGGTGGGATCACATCTGTCAGCTGCACGCCCGCCCACCAGCCGTACCAAATGCCATTGCAACTCTATTGCGGGTGCCCACATCACACCCTGTGCTGACCACCCCAGTCGGCCCCATTGTTGATCCGCGTAAGGGTTGAAAGCAGCGCCGACGCCTATAACAGCGAGTGCTCGTTGACAACATCGTGAATGAAAGAATCAAAGCGGGACTCGCCGACACATTGCCTTGGCTTTCGACAGCGGTGGCAAGGCTGTCGGCATCGTGCCCGAAGTGTGCGCCGGCGCACCTGGCGCGCCTGGCGCGCGTCGCTCGGCTGGAGTACGTGGCACGCTTGGCGCACTCGGAGCGCGTGGCGGATCAGGCGCACCTGGTGCGCCTGGGCCCATTCGGCACCTGGTGCGCCCAGCGCACCTGGCACGCGTGGCGAACCTCGCGAGCGTCGTGCACGCGACGCCCGTGCTGGTTCCCAGGTGGCTGCCCGTCCGGTAGCGACGTCTGCCTGTGCTGAGTCTCGGACGTCACTTGTGCGGTGGGACGGCGGGTGGGAGTGAGCGGAACACCTTGAGGCGTTCCCCTTAGGAGCTCGACCCCTCGCCCTACCCCCTGCCCTGGGTCGGACCCCCCCCCCCCCAGGGCGCTGAAGCGTCCAAGATGGCCCTGGATGTCTCAAAGGTACCTGGGCCAAGGTGGCCTCCAAGATTGCGAGCGATCGCCAAACACTGCTCAACATAACCTCCCCGAATTTCTTACGAGACGCAAGAGGACAGCCCCAGGACGGCTGCAAGTGGCCACGGCGTGTCTCAAGGAAACACCCGGGGGGACACATTCCTTCAAACGAATCCCCCAAACAGCCTGTGTCAACACTGTACGTCTGCACATCGACAGACAGACAGACAACCCAGAGGCGGGCAGCGCCCGGCCCTGCGCGGGGCCTGGGCGGATGGCACCGCAGCGTCTCAGACTGGACTCGTACACAGCTCCACACTGCAAGCATGTGTGAACGGGCGAAGAACGGTATAACATAAACTTTTTCGTTGTCGGGGGCGCCTGTCCCATGGCGGCTGGAAAGTTTATACCCTTACGGTGGCACCGTAGGGGTATAAACTTTCCAGCCGCCCAGGGACAGGCGCCCCCGACAGCGAAAAAGTTTATGTTATACCGTTCTTCGCTCGCTGAATGTGACATCCAGACGCCGTCAGGCGCGTCATGGCCAGCAGCACGCGAGAAACTGGTGTGCGCGTTGCCGGACCCAGAGCGGGTCGGGCGACGCTGCCTCCCGCTGCCTCCCGATGCCTCCCACTGCTTCCCGTGGCCTCCTGTGGCCTCCCGTTGCCTCCCGCGGCCTCCCGTGGCCGTCCCTGTCCCTATCCCTCCATCCTTCTATCTCTCTGTCCCTCTATCCCTCTTTATCCCTGTCCCTGTTTCCCTATCTCGATCCCCGCGTCCCTGGCCCTGTGTCCCTTGACCTACCTCCCTACCCAAACCCCCGATCCCGATCCCCCTATTGTGGCTCCCCACCGTGTTTCCCAGCGTAGCCGTATTATCCCAGTGCGACCCTACCTAGGAGTTGGAACCCCTAGGAAAGCAGCATTAGTAGTAACAGTAACGCTAAGCTAAAGCTAAGCTAAAGCTAAGCTAAAGCTAAGCTAAAGCTAAGCTAAAGCTAAGCCACAGCTAAGCTAAAGCTAAGCTAAAGCTAAAGCCAAGCTAAAGCTAAGCTAAAGCTAAGCTAAAGCTAAGCTAAAGCTAAGCTAAAGCTAAGCTAAAGCTGAGCTAAAGCTGAGCAACAGCTAAGCTAAATCTAAGCTACATCTAAGCTAAAGCTAAGCTAAAGCTAAGCTAGAGCTAAGCTAAATCTAAGCTAAAGCTAAGCTACAGCTAAGCTAAAGCTAAGCTAAAGCTAAGCTAAAGCTAAGCTAAACGCTAAGCGAAAAGCTACGCGAAACGCTAAGCGAAAGGCTAAGCTACAGCTAAGCTAAAGCTAAGCTAAAGCTAAAGCTAAAGCTAAAGCTAAAGCTCCCAGGGGACTGGGGGGAACCGCTCCCAGGGGACTGGGGGAACCGCCCGGGGCGTGTTCCACTGCCCAGCCCATTTAAGCTAAGAGAGTAAGAACCCTTCTAGGCAGAGCTTAGGTAGGGAATAAAGCTGTTCAGGGTCTTCTGCCGAAGGGGTGTCAGGATTTCTCAGTGATTTATATGCCTTATCGCCTTTTCGCTCCCGATGGGTTCCTGACACCTCAAGATGGCTCTAATAGCGCCCACTATAACCCAAAGAGCGGCCACGACAGCCCCAACAGCTCCCACCACCGTCCCAAGATATCCCACAACACATACTTCTCGGGCTCACAAAAGGCGGGATGCGTAATTCAAGCCGCAATGTTTCTTTCAGGCTTGAGGCTCCCAGAACTTTCGATGCATGTGCGAGCGACAGGTCCGACAGCTTGCCAGACATAGCGCTGCGAGCTGTACTGGACCCCACGTCGTGCATGAGGGGGAGGGGCGCCAATCACACGATAGCGGCCAGCTTGCCGCAGAACACTGTATTATCTTGCACAGTTGTGTTCTGGAGCTCGGACCTCTTGATTTTCGCTCGTGGTTCGTTCGTGGTTCGTCGTCGTCCCCCCGGCTCTGCCCCCCTCCGCTGGGCCCCTCGCCCCAACCCGGACCTCTGGACCCTGGTCCCAGTAACAGCCCCGTGGGCCTGGACCCAGTCGCCCCCCAGGTTCTGGCCCCCGCACCCCTCGCCCTGGACCCCTTATTCTCTTGCTCAGCTGTATTCTGGTGCTCGGACCTCTTCATTTTTGCTCGTCTCTCGTTCGTCGATCGTCGTTCGTCCTCCCCCCAGGCCACGGAAGGAAACTCTTGGAGGAAAGAGGCGAAAGCCTCCTGTCCCTCGCAGCTCCTTGGTGCAAGAGCCAGGGCACGCGTGCCTCTTGTATATGTTAGCCAACATGGACCCAAACCAGAGAGTAATGGTACTATGGAGGTGGAAGCTATGTGGTGCAAACTATGCGATGTGATGAGCTATGTGGTGTAAGCTATGTTGTGTACGCTTTGTTGTGTACGCTATGACGTGTGAGGTGTGTGCTGTGAGATATGTGAGGTGATTTATGTTGTCTGGGCTATGCGGTGTAAGCTATGTGGTGCACGCTATGTTGTGTACGCTATGCGGTGTAGGCCATGTGGTGTGAGCAGTGCAGTGCAAGCTATCTGGCGTGAGCTGTGTGGTCTGAGCCAGGTTGCGTAAGCTGTGCAGTTGGCGCCGTGTGGCGAAAGCGGTGGGGCGGCCCCCCCAGGCGGCAACGGACGGCGACGTGGCGGAACCTCGGCGGACCCGCCAAGTACACCCTGCGAAATGCTTTGGAAATCATGGGTTTTAAGAAATTCATATAGTCTAAGAGTTTGAAAGCAAACCCAGAACGTCGATCCCAATGTTAGGCTTTACACTGAAGCAGTAAGAATAATCGAGACTCTGGCCGAACACTTGGGTTTTCTGAAGCATCGCCTGGAATGTACTGCAGGTCCGTGCCGTGTCGACCCTGGCGTTGGTTCCTGACACCGCGCTGGATCGTTCAACCTTGAACGATCGGCCGTCTCCGCAACGTCCGATCGTTCAACATCGACCGATTCTGGGCCGCCGTCGGCGTTCAACGCTGAACGTCGGCGGCGGGGTCGCCGCCGGTCGACACGACGCGAACCTACCGTAGGCGGGAACGAAGCGGCCACGAGGGCGGCAACGGGCGGCGGCGCGGCGGCACCTCGGCGGACCCCCCCCCCGGTGGGCGGGCGGCAACCCGGGCGGCCACGGGCGGCGAGGTGGCGAAACCTCGGCGGACCCGTCGAGTTCTCGGTGGTCCCCAAACGTGGTGGTGAGAACACCCGGTGGTGAGTTCTGGGCGAATTGGGTAATGGTTTTCTCAGTAAGAACGGTTTTTTGAAGGCAGATCTGCCTTCAAAAAACCGTTCTTACAGAGTAGACCAATTTTTTGAAGGCAGATCTGCCTTCAAAAACCGTTCTTACGGTGGTGAGTTCTGGGCGAGTTGGGTAATGGTTTTCGAGCGCTGGCTGGCCCAGGAAGCGCAAAGCCTCGTGGCGACCGCGTGTCCCCAAGCCCGGTGGTGACCCAGAATTGTTCTCTGGGGGAATCGGGGTCACCACCGGGTGTCTCACCACCTGGTTTGGAGACCACCAAAATTCCTTAGTGACAGAGGTAGGAGCCCCGGAGTGCAGACACTGTTTGGGGACAGACTTGCCGCGAGCCACTGCAACTGCGAGCAGCTTTGAGAGTTGCCGGTTCACCCGGATCTTCTGTCG